CAAGTTTTAAGTACATGCACTGTCAAATGAAATTTAGTTTGGGGCAAATCGATTACGGCGATTATGTCGCACGAGATGCAGGAACAAGGCAAATGGATGTAGATTGTAGAATGTGTGTGCAACAAGATGAATTGTGGGAAGCTGGAACAGATCGAGATGATCGAGGCTGATGTCGCGGTATTTATGGGGTGAGGAAGCACAGACTCAAACGAATTAGTTGCTTGTTGGATAGTGTCATGTTTCCGTTTCGACTATTCTTCTTACAATTGTTAATTTAGTCCGCTTGGGCCCCGGCCCCGGAGCTGTTCAAAACAGCCAGTGTTGCTGAAATTATAACCCGCTGGGCTTACCTCACGTGTAAGGCTTCAGTGCAACGAGCTAGTAAATCCGATTCGGATACATGTGCGGTCAATACGCTGCGGGATATTGGAGGGGACTAAATTAGGGAGGAAAAACGCCAGGGGTGGGTTCCTGTCTTTTGTGACCATACGGTGAGCAGGATAGCTGAACAAAATAGTCGTCTCATCGTCCACCGTTGATTTAGACATCTTCCATTCTCGGCAACCAAAATAACTTATCTCTTTTCATACGCGCTCAGATGTTAACGAAACTATGTACGACGAGAGGGGATAGATTATCCAAGTTGTCAAAATACTTGGAGTGGCTAGCTGAGCATTTTGGAAGGTAGATTCATCGACAGGGATTATGAAATGCTTTGTCGGCCAGTGAAAATACTGCTTCTCATACTGTCCAAACCGCTTCGCAATCCTATTCGGAAGTCAAACATGCGGTTGTGCTACTGATATCCAACAAGGGTAACCTTCATGTACATGTGTGCAGCTATTGTAGATTTATTAGTGAAAGTATGGGAGCAGTAAACTGTCCCGACCGACAGGAGCTGCTCTGCCGTTGTTTCGGTTTGGAACGGTCTCCAAGCTCCGAGTACAGCAATCGTAGAGGGATCGGTCTGATCTTAAGTGCCTCTAAGAAACTTGCCTCTGCTTTTTTCATAGATTGTTTAATACTTGTGAAGATAAGATTCGTAATGAGCAAGCAGTGTCTTGTGGAAATAAAGCCCAAACTGACCGCATCTTCACCTTATGTTACTTAATGGAGCATCGACATTTAAATTGGCGACCAAATCCAATTGTGTTCCCCGAAATAAAATCCGCCTTTGCTTTAGTGGATAAGTGTGTCAATTGGGACTGTCTGGTTAGGAAATGTGTGCCTGAGAAACACGTAAACATCATCCGATCGCTTTGCGCGCGTATTTAGGGTAGAGCGGAGGCCTATAGAGAACTATCACCACCTAACAAAACCTGCGGTGGTGCGAGAGATTAATGCACAATGTCATCTTTCCCTTCCACTTCGTTACTTCTTGGGTTATAGAAGCTGTCTTCAGGGCACTCGACTTGGAAGGCGTGTAGTGGCTTCCAGCTGAATAACTTCACTGTTTGGAGTGCATCCATGACATTATCCCAAGTTGTGCTAATTAGCACTGGAGAGATTATCACTGGCTGCCAATTGTTTCAGACGATCTTCTGGATCGCCAGCATGAAAAATCTTTTCCCAGGATTGGTATAAAGCAGCCCAGCACCAACCATTGGTGGGGATCAATTGGAAATTGGTCATAAACCTTATTACCTGTGTAGAAATATCAACACCTGTGGAATGGAAGTTGCTGTTACAAACGGCATAGTAAAAGTTAGAATCAGGCTTACTGATCTTCGCTACTCAGGACCTCAGCTCCACCACACACTCACCAGGGAGGGTAGAGTTGATGATACACCTGTCCTGTACCACCTGTCCAGTACCATTGTGAAACCTGACCCAGCAGATCAACAGAGGTAAACTGGCTAGTCGCGTATGGTCACCGGTGCCTCCGTAGTCTAGTCGATATTTGATAGCAATACCTCCCTACTGATGAACGTTTCGACTGCCTCGTTAAGGAAGTATGAGTAGCAAACGAACTGATTAGCAGCATCAATTCATGCACTATGCTTTGCTGATCTGGTAGTATGTTATGCATACCAGCACACCGCCTCTTGCGACTTCGCTTATTTACGCGACTAAGGAGTGGTTCAAGAAAGATGAAGTGCGCCGGCGGATTACTTGGTCGCAAGGGATTAGGGCTTTCACTTCGAACTTGGTATTGATCAGGACCTCCTGAATTTTGGGTTGGGGTCCCAAACAGAGGGACATTTGGACAGGGCAATAAGCAGACTCTAATAACTTTTGCCTTGTCAGTTTCGCTATTTCTCCTCTTCCCGTCCTATGCTTATTCTAAATCTTTAATGAAAACTAGAAAATGTCACGCCGTGGAGGAGAGTTCCAGAAATGCTTTATCCCGACACCGCACTCCAGGACCGACCCGTTCCGTGCTGAGTTCGATTCGTTATGTAGAGATGGCTTGAGCTGAGAGGGGAGCCCAACACAGTGATTGCCAGCTTTCGTCTTAGTCACTAGGCCAGAGCTCAACAGCAGTGCCAGATACATCGGTTAGAAATTCTTTATAGGGTCATGGAGTACCCACCGTGTGTCTGGATTGCGACGCGCAATTGAGGCTACAGTTTGCTCTGAAGCAAACCCATGCCATTTCTTTTACTGGGATGGCATCCGAAGTGGGAATAAACTTCTAACTGCTGTGGCAAGCGCAGCTTTAGAGCTCCGGTCTCGTGACCAAGGCAAAAGCCGTCATTCAAAATCATTATAATCCTAATGTACCCGACTCAGCACATTTTCAGCACATTTTTACACTAGAAGTGCGGATAAGCATTTGGGTACAAAAAGTCTACGGAAAAGGATAGGCGATTGTTGAAAAAAATACAAAATATACATGCTTTCACTTAAGCAGCCGTTCACGCAGGGCATCAATGATATTTGCGGAGTTCGCTGGAAATAGTGATGACTAAGGCAAAACAGAGTTATGAAATGAAGCGGTGCGACAATACAGAAAATTAAACATTGAGCATGTAGATGAGAAGAAACGCGTTTTCGATAACCCTTCGTGGAGTGGGTGATATGGATCATTTAAACTCTGTGAAGGAAAGCTGTGACGTATCAAAATGCCTGCTAACAACGATGTCTACAGGAGACTCGAAGTAATTCACTGCATTTAGAGATGAGCTTAATGGAATCGACATTATTTATGAAGTCTTTTCAAGGAACTCTAAGGAAAATAACCTGCAAGCAGTACAACCAATGCGGTAGAATACTGGTAGCTACGAATGTATAAATTGACTAGCGCGGTAGTGAAAGCCTCTTGAACCGGCATAAAACAATAGGGCATAAAACAATAGTCCCATCTTGCGAAACTTTTCGTCGATGTGTGTAGACTACGTTGCGCTCCCCTCTCAGCTAAAGCCATTTCTACCTGACGAGTCCAAATGCGGACGAAACCGGTTGGTCGTAGAGTGCCGTGTTAGGATAAAGCAGCTCCGAAACTCTCCACTTTTAGTGCGGTCCCAGTGATGGAAATGGCATAGGTTTGCTTCAAACAACTGTGACCCCAGTTGAGATTGCGTGTTGCAATCCAGACAAACGGTGGGTATTCCAAGATTTAATACTAGCATGTCCTGTTATTTGCCTTTGCATTCCTGTGCAAATAGCTCTAATGTCTGTCACTATCTATCACGTTGCATGATGACGATGGGCTATTATAGTTTTCAGTAAGCAGAACGATATTTATTATTCTCTATCGGCCACTTTTGTCATTCCCTGGGTTACATTAGTAGTGAACAGAGTATTTTGATGGTTAAATCTTTGTGGTCTAGGATTCACCTGATTAGCAGATGAGTATTCACGATGCAAATTACTTCGTGCATGAAAATACTTAGAAGCCAGTCATGCACTCATTTCACACACTTCTACAACCTTTTCGTCAAACATTAGCTAATGGGTTGACCAATCTGTTAAGTTAGCTTAGTTTTATCGCAAGCCTCTGGTTGTGCTTGGTTATCACGTGTCACTGTCTGTCGGGTGAACCACGTAACCCGTGATGCGAATAAAAGTGCGTTTGATCAAACGGACCAATGTGTCAGTGCTAGTGACACCCTCACCCGTGGAAAAGCTTACATACCGATTTGTGTGGACCCGTCGACGCCTATCTGTTGACTGTCGTAATGGATGCATATTTAAAATGGATGGAACATCGCGCAACGACAACTATGACTGGGACGACCACTGTACACATCTTAAAAAAGATGTTTGTTATGCTAGCGTACCATGGGCATTTATTTCAAATAATGGCTCGGTATTTACCAGGGACGTGTTCGGACAATTCTTGCGTCAAAGCAGAAAGAGGTACCATATCACGCTTCCCTTGCCCGTGGCCTAAACTATCACGGGCCTGCCTTGTAGCCTGAGAGCGCCAGTTAGAACCTGCGTAGGGGCGGAGCGACCATCGCAGTATCCTTAGCCCTCGCGCGACTGTTGGTGGCTGCGCGGCAGCGAAGCATCGGTATTGCATACTGGAGTGCTTCTGATGCTTTATACCATCTTTTGTCCAATGGGCTGACAGAGAGAGCGGTTGCGACAATTAAACAAGGTGTGGTCAAACAACGCTCCGGAACTTCACAAACCCGCCTGGCGAAATTTCTACTACTATGGATGACCCACCTTCTGAATTCCTGTAGAGGCGAGAGCTGCGCACTCGGTTGGTTCTGAGAAAATTCGACCTGCACAGAACGATCGTTAAGCTCTAGTCCTCGATGAGGTACGCTACACTATTAGTACGAAGGATCATGTGGTTGGTACAGGCGACAGGGTGTACCTTAAACTATGGCCAACGGATAAAGCATGGAACATCCGTAGTTTCTTTAGATGGTTAAATAAAGACATTGTAATTATCATGAATCGGAGGAGAACAAAGGGCCTGCAGCTCAGTAAGTGGCACTGAATAAGCATTCCTTTGTTATACGATGCTTGGATACCTCAGGTCTGTTTTCCGTGTGAATATGTGGTACGCATGTGTTTATTTCAGCGAGGAAATACTGACTCACCGTTCGAGGACTCTTTGTTGTTGCACTTTTGTATGTGAAGTTCGCGCACAATAATGGACCGCCACTGTCACCTTGGCAAGTGTCACCGTCTTCCAACTGGCCACCAGCACATATATATGTTTGCTTCACAGTGCGATTTGCAGCAGATACAAACCCTGCCAATTTGTCGCATACAACCCTGGTCACAACGGCAATATGCAGTGCTTAAGGGGATTGTGAAAACATTGTGCATATGAATTACATGTTCGTCCTGTATTTTGCCCTGGTTGTCCTCCATAGCGAGACTGGCCAGCCCCGGCTACAATACAGGGTGCGGTTTTATTGCCAAGTTGTTGGTCACCTTTCACTTCTTCAAACATTTCGTTAACTATGCTGCATGACTTCCGTGGCAAAAGTGCACTCCCCTTTAGGTCAGGTATTATCTTTATAAGGGCAATGTCATCGGAAAATTTATCTTTCATTCTAAAGCCCGGGTGTATAATCAATTGATCAATACGGAAATTCGTTCCTTCCGGTGAGAAGCGATCCAGGTCTCCTCGGCTGACGTTTCTGATAGTGGTGAAAGTGGCAACTCTTAAAAGTTCCTGAACTCTATCAATGGGGTGAAAGAAATGAAGGATACTTCTCAAATGGTTGCACGCAATGAGCTGCCGTGAGCACAAAGTCGCTTGAAATGACTGTGCCGCCGCATAGATGAAGGACTTTTGTATGCCCTGCAAGTGGGACAACTTGCACAATAGCTACTAAGTGAGTGGTCACATAATGTAGCAACTCTGCGGGCAAAGTCACATATCCCAACTTCACCATGTCTTTCGCTAAAGTTGTGTTGGAATCAACGGTGTCACTCAAGTTAGTTCGGCTTTGTACATTTTCCTTTCTGTCATAAGCTTCCAACGATGCCGATTTCCCATCCGTAATCTCTGCATCCACAACACTGAATGTACCTTGGATATTCTTGTGTACGCGGTAACCACGATAAATGGCCGGCTTTAGTGGAAACCATTTCGCCCCATTTTTGTTCGATTTTACTGGCAAGGAGTGCGTGAGTTCTGAAAGGGAAGAGAAGGTGATAGGTAATTTTGGGCGTGTAAACATTTGTGCGCATTTTACATCCGGCAACATAAGTTTATAGAAAAAGGTCAGATGGTAAAAGGATGATGGTATTGTTATCACAAAAGATCGTTGAGAGCAACCAGAGTATTACGATCATTTTCTTACTGGGCTTCTTTAGCCGGCCCACCCATGATCCGTTGGCAAACCCTTATCTGAACATCTCCCATCGACGATACGACCGAGACATCTCTTGTGCATTATTTCGCCGTCGTGCTTACTCCACTGCCAGTTGTTTCTTTTTCCACACATCAGTTTCTTTACGCAAATCCATTGCAGTAACAATCACACCTGCACAACTCCATGGTGTATGCTATGCTCTTATTTTGCACCTGGCTTTGTTTCGTACGTTGCTCTGATGTAGTCTGGCCTAACAAGTCATGATCACCACAGTGACTTGTCATTACCTCGTGGACTTGGTTCCCCCTTTGTAACGCAATCGTTCCTCCTTACTTAGAGGTACTAGATTGTTCATTGAACCCCATGTCCCTGGCACTGTATGAAAAGCTGAGTGACTCAGGGCGTCACTGACGTCGCGGCGGTGCCGGATTCGAACCTACGACCTTACTCTTACAAATCTGTGACTTATGCCACTGAGCCATGAGTGACGGTAGGCGGACCGCCTAGACTGCTTTCTAACTGTGATATGACGCAGCTCATCCTCCACTGTCATGCATACTATGAACGTTCAGAGAACTGGGCTGGCCCCCAGAGCCACGAATTATTTTGTGACGCTTTGTGGCGACTTCGGTCTGTAAATTGCGCACGACGTGCATGCCCCGTGCTGAGCCGTGTTTTTGCTCCGCATCGAGCTGTAGCCGTGGTAAATAAATGATAGACGGAAGGTGTGGCCCTAGCAACAAATCATGATCTTCGCACAGTTCGTAGATTGCATAACGGAGGGGTTGAAAATGTCGCAGTTCCCTCGAAAGCCATGGCAGTCGGCCTTCATTACGCGTGGCCTAGCGGCGAAAACCGTTGGTCATTGCCCTGGGCAGTTAATGTCGAAAGTTACAAGCTGGCTTCCTGGTAGAACCGAGGGATGCCGATTGCCAACAAGTTGCCATAAAACGGTCGCATTTCTGAATGTGTGGGAGGTTATTCAATGGGACTCTGCTACAGAGGACCGCCAGTGAATTACTTTAACCTCCCTACTCTCCCCTGGTTGTAGTTGGTTCGCTTGCGGTCTATACTTTTGCAATAACCCGGGGGTCGTACATATTAGTCGAAGTCCTAAAACCAATTCATTTTTACTGAAATGAGTTGCTTTCCCGCAACTTTCCATTCAAGTCATCGGTCTTACAACATCCGTCCACTTGAACTTTGGAAACTTGAATGCATTTGCTAAACCACAGACTTAGGACAAAGTGTATATGTCTCTTGAGGGACTCTTTGCTTGGCTACCTCCCTGGACCTCAGCTTGCTAATTCTAACAATAACCACTTTTCCCGCCTCTTTGGATGATGTGGCGAAGCTGTCTGGGTAAGCACACACCGTTTAAGCTATGAAGGTAGCTGGTGGTTCAGGTGAATAAAACTGAGCTGAGTCAACGGACCGACGGCCAGTGAAGAGATGCCCATACGACCTGATCTCAACAATATCTCAAGGGCAACACTGGATTGGCTCAGCCAGTCAGTAGGAAATCAGCGTGTCCCCAGAAGTGCCAAGTGAGAATTACGCAGGGCAACGTAGATGAGCAGCACATGGGGTCAACAAGCATAGGCAGACGATATAAGACGCGAGAACGGGAAATGACCAATGAAAAGCAGCCACCTTGGAATTGTGTCTCAGCTTTATGTTGTAATTAGATTATCCGACGGTTCATAGATAACTGTTTTGTGACGCCTACCCAGACTTCCTCTTGACTCTCAGATAACTATGTGAATTGATTTACCTACGTTCTTCATCGAGAGGGCTTACAAATTCATATAACCACGCAAAAGCCCAGTAGTTGCGTTTACCTCCGAAGAAACATCACCGGTCACCAGTACACCGAATGGCACAATTTCGCAACTAGGGCATGCACGCCCCACTAGACTCGGATAACTGAGTCTATCTTGTCGCTGCACGGATTCGAGAACTTCTAAACACATATATGTTGTCATTAACGGAAGCTAAGACAGTCATTCAACAGACATTGCGGCATTATTTGCATTGTTGAAGAGAATGCCGGTGTCAACTTGCAAACAAGTTAGGCAACCTAGTGCTCGCTTCCCATTGGGATAGACCAAGGCATCGATCTAATGCCATATTTTTGTACCCTTTTGGTTGTCGTCCATTTGAAGATCCAAAAAATATTTTGTCGGTATCAAGCAGGGGACTCACAGTATGCCGGTAATACATATATCCACGTCCCGTCAACTTCAGTAAATATCTTTGAGGCATTGTGGTCCGTATCCGCCGCTCTACTCGCTACAAGCAGGCTGTCAATTGCACGTCGTTGTTATTTACAAATGAAGAGTCAGTGCATGACAGTGAACCTTATCAAGTGGGCTACCGAGAGTTAGAGCAAAGCATGGACAGCGATCGAAACCTGTCACTCCTGAAACGTGGAAGCGTCTGCCCCGTATAATCGCAGAGGTCTCTCGCTGGGTGGTTCTCATTTTTATTTCCTGTACTGTCGATGTTCATTGTCCGTAATGCGTATTTTATCTGGTGGGCTCGCTTCAACCAGCTCCCTATCTGTTTAGTAACACAACGAACTTGGCTCGTTAGTCAGGGTCTGTTCTTCGGTGTCCGGCTGGTCCTAGCCACTTTGGCCAACTAGAGTGCGCGACAGTTTATTCGTGCTTTGCTCACTGTAATCACCCCTTCACCACCTAATCACTTCACCAGATATCATTGCACCCCGTGTCGTCAGACTTGTTTCGTTGGTACGCAAGTGCTGTTCGCCCGCTGGCCTTCTGGTAATTCGCTCCCATTTGATGTCATCAAACTGTGGTTCGTTAGCGCTAGGTTCAGAAAATGTTACCTTGCCACCGCGATCTCTGCGGTCGTAGTTAGTCTGTAGGGATATTAATTGGTTGTCCTCCTGTCCGCTTGCGCCACGTCGGTCACATTCACCCAAATCACAAACTATCGGCACAAAGTTCACGAGATATTATACAGCGCGCACTTCTCTATCATTTATGCTATATGACAACCTCATGAGACGGAGACACAATGGAAAAACTGGCAGTGGTATGGTGTATTTTGATCTCGCAGTAGCAGCATGGAATGTACTGGTTAACGGTTGCCCATAGAGGACCTGCACACATTTCTTTCCCAAGTTCAGTGGACTAGTTGCGATTATGTCCACATAGTATTTGCGTATGTGAATAGCACCTGAATTAGTGCACGAACATGCCATGCGGCGTTGAATTTAATGTGCTAAGCTCACGGGGTTATTGTTGACGGCAACCAAATTAATGGCTAGAAAATGCGCTTCCCCACCCTCATAGTATAATATAGTCCATGTGAAATGTTGACTTTTGAGTGCAACGAGCACGTTCTGGGATTAATCTCCCTCGCACAGTCATATAGCTTCTGCACGTAGTGTGTATGGTGATTTGCCGAATATCCATTTGCTTGCTTTGCTATATTTAGATAAGCCGTACAATAGCGAGCGTTTAGTATGTTGCACGTTTGCATGTGATGAGGGAGCACGAAATGATCTCAGCTTGTAATATTCCTCTTCTCTTTTGATCGTTTACAACTTTATTTCAGTCGTAAACAAAAACTTGACACTTTACATTGGCTTTACTGTATAGTCATAACTCTGATTGTGCTCAATAATTAAATGGTGGAGGCTTGTTGGCTCTTTGGGAGGTAGAAGTGACAAGCTGCAGCGTATCTAAACCTCAGAAACTTCTCCGCTGCTGCTGCCGCTGCTGCTGTTTATTTACCTTTAACATCGCTTAAATCTCTAGACCTAAAATGTTGTTTATGCTCTCTGTTATTTTTGTACTCGGAGGTTTTAATCTCCATGTGACTATGGCTCCTTTCAAAAAGCCACATGCCTGACTGAATCCCTACTTTCTTCGGAGTGATAGCACCATGGATGAAATAGGCAGTGCACCGCAATGGTGGGGATCAATCTTAGGAAGTTTTTACCGTTTTAAATACAATTACAAATGTCCCGAGTTTAATTCAGAACAGCCTATGTCCCGAAGAACAGTTAAGGGCATCAAACGAAACACAGAAGGTGCATTGTAAACCTGAACAGACGCAAATGTACAGAGTGCAACCATATAAGTAAAGGTACTTTGTCAGTTTCTGCACTCTAAACTATGATAGACTGGGACAGAAGCTGACGGCACTGCGGGGGCTTGGTGTTTTTGTGATGCTCGGCACACGGCCCCATTTTCCGCTGATGCTCTAAGACCAACTGCAGAACATCTGAAGACCCAGAGAAGTATTGCGATCGGTATTGTGTATCGGGGAGCATTGTGTTTTAGCCGAATCGGTGCAGTATTGTAGAACGAAGAACAACTGGCACTTTTTACCTCTTTAACGATCACACCTATTTGTTATACTGCAGATACTTCTATACATAGAATTTCCACACAATATTTCTAAACATTGAGTAGTTTCTAGCTACGCATTCATCCCTGTAGTAGTCTTGATGATAGGGGCTATCCGGTGCTTAATTTTTGTCGACTCTAAAACAGCTATACCGTAAGAAATGAAGGTTACCTTTTCGATGTTAAATTATCAAAGTGACGTTGGTAGTCATACGAAAAGCCAAGCAATTTATACAAGCAAGAATCGATTGTTCATTTCCCTCACAAAGTCAAGCATCGTATCGGAAACTCACCGTTTAATACTGCGGAGAGAAATAAACTGAAAATTATCACACCCAAACGTGGTGACATCAGAACCATGTCACCCGCGTTGAAAATGTCTTCTTCATTTTCCGTTATCGGCGAGACAATCAAGTTGATTTTCGCGCAGTATCACGTGCACTGGTAAACTGACCACAGACTACTGAAACTAATGAGCGCCATGCACTTTGTATGTGGTCGATGAGGAAGCAGCAACCATAGGTCATTTAGTGATACTCATACGAAATCTGTCTACAATAAAAATCGAAAGCATGTCGCTCGAGCAGATATGCGTTCTAACCTGGATTTAAAGACTGTACAGTCCTAACCTTTTTGTTACCGTTGTAGCTGCATAGTTTTTCTAAATTTTATCATACTGGGTAATCACAACACGAGCTGATGTGTATGCACGAGGTGATCAGGATTATGTTTTCATGAATTCCTACTTGTCACTTGTTGCGTGCCTGGTTCTCCCAGCTGCGTCAAGAGAAAGAACTCACACCGGCTCTGCACACAAGCTTTCTATTCACAAGTCTGAGGTAATGTACAACTAGCTGTGATTTTAAAACACACCCTCCCACTCCATCGAGCGCCTGATCGACCACACTGAGGCAGGTGATTCCCTTCCCCCAGAGTTCAGCCAACATCCCATCCTTCCCTATTTCTTATTTTCATTGTTTTGGTGTTGCAGGTTCCGTATCACCTTCCACTGCGGCAGAGCTTTTGAACCTGGGCTGCGAACAGTTGGCTTAATCTGCTGATGCGACTTCTCGTTCGAGTGCAATGTCTATTCACCACATCGTCTTTCCAGCCGCAGTCAATAGTTTCCCTTTCTTTTTCGACCCTCCGATGCTCATCTCTTCCGACACCCACCAAATCTATGTATCTGTTTACAACATACTTCACCTCCAAGCGCTAGATTATGACTCTGTCTGGGGTGAAGTTTGTGACGCGTTTTTCGCCGCCGTGAACGCTTTCCAAGATGGTCTTGCAGATGATTAGTGGAAAATTTTTCGGGTTGCAAATGTACGGTGGCCCCAGTATCAGCTTGCGGTTGGACAATTTGTCCTTGAATCGCTAGATTTGCATTAGCACATCCCTCCTCATCATGATCTTAATTGTTATTTACTGAAATCTCTTGCGCTTATTGTTGATTGACATTATCAAGTGACCTAATGTCACTCGATCGACAGCAACGAGCGAAATGGCTTAGCCGGCCTTCACAATAATCACCAAACCTTTCGAGTGTTTCTAGAATATCCGCTTCTTGGTGTTGAGCGCAGAAATTCAAGGTGTCTAGTGTCCGCATTGCATCATGGCCGATGGCGTAGTTGAGCATGGCTAGCTGATATGGTATAGGATATTCACCCAACTACAGCAGTGTCGCGAAGTTCATCCACTTCGCTCTCCACAGGCGCCAGTTTTCAGGCAGTGAACCCTCCGTCACCTGTAATGGAGTCGGCATCGCTACAAACGGCTGCCAGCCAAAGCAAAGCTGCTGATTGCTCATCGGCTTCTTTTCCTCTGACACCCTGTTGCGCGTCTGGTTCTCCCACCCACATCAAGAGAAAGAACTTACACCGGCTCTGCACACAAGCTTTCTATACACAAGTCTGAGGTAATGTACAACTAACTGTGCTTTTAAAACACACCCTCCCACTCCATCGAGCGCCTGATCGACCACACTGAGGCAGGCGATTCCGTACGCCCCAGCTTTCAGCCACCATCACAGTAATCCCCGTCACAATGTTTTAGACAAAGAGCATATTGGAGACGTAAACAATACACTGTGATTTAAGAGCAAATATGCCTGCGATTTCGTTAGTTCTCCAGACCTACATTGGCCTACAACAGGAAGCTGATCAGTTTAGTCAACCGGAGTTGGTATAAGTGGTCGAGCCATCACAACGCAGTGAGTACATGAAAAAGGACTCCCAAAAAGTTATTGACCGTTAAGACAGATATTGCCTAGGACTCGGATGAGTTAGAGCTAAAGCTTTCGGCTGCCTTCCCAATATCACTGATCGACTAGCAATCCTGTTATATAGGCCAAATGAGGACAAACGAATCCGAAACCGATCGGAGAGTGCAATGTAACCAGTGGTTGACGCCTAAGATGCATATGTTTTAAATGAGGTCATGGTAACGGAATGGGTTCAGACTTAATCCAAAGTGAATCGCGGCCAAGAAGTGGGGTTCGTGGCGCAAATCATTCACTTATTGAGTGGCTCAGAACGACCACCCACTGAATAGGCTAAAGACCAGTTGCTGCGTGTGAACATGACATCACACTGTTCTAACTTGGCTCCATTAAGCCCAAGCAAGCCGTTGTCCAGAGATGAATGGAGTGACAATCGGCTACTATACGGAAAGCACATTTACTATTTTTCACAGTTGCACTTTTGGCACAGTGGTTCAGTCGTCGATGATACTATATATAAGAGGCTTTCTCAATGGCTTCCCAGTTCCATAAATGCCGCGTGGTGGTCATATTGGTTAGAGTTCACTGCAGTAGTTAAATTATTTGCGCAAACGCTCGGAAGACTTTAATTTCAATGGTGCATACAGTTGAAAGAACTGCTGTCACCACTTGGTAGCCATAAGAATTCGGCCTTGTAGCAGGTCGTATGCATCACAAAGAGACGTCTTGCTAGCAAAATGCTATTAGCCACTGTAAATATCAGTTTAAAAACATGCGCAAATGACCCTCTGTTACTACTATCGCACTGTGAGCTGATGATACTTGTTTAAGCACACAGTTTGGGCTGTAAGAAGTAAAGGCAGTGAGCAGATTTAATTATGCAGAAGTAACTGTGGTTTTGCATAAGTGATGGCGATGTGTAATGGAAATAGCGGTGAAGCGATTGCAATTAGATCCGGAAAGAATTCCTCGAATTCAGTTCAAAAAGTATGAAATCCTTCAGTAGTGAAACGCGTGGTCCACTAGAACAAAGTTTTCCGATATTTGTGCTATATGAATTGCTGCCGCAAATAAACGGGTCATAGAAGAAAGACTAAGAGGAAAATGCGAACAGGCAGTCCATCATTCAAGTCACTAATTGTAAATGCGGTCAGTTATAGCAATCAGTGCGATCAGTGTGCACACAAATGTGAATCACAGGTATTTTCCGTGAATGAGCAATCCGCAACATCAACGACTTGCTTGAATCTGGTTCAATCCTTCACATATCGCCATCACCTTTTGGTTTGCAGTTTATTCCCGAAACTTTGCGGCCCATTTGTTACAGCAGACATTTTCAGTTGGTACTCAAACGATCTCCTGTTGAGTGGGCCAAGCGTTAAATGCCATCGCAAAAGAAGCGAAACTGCAGTCATTCGGAATGAATAGCATGGCGACCACAACTTAATTCCATAATGGGATTGTAGTATCTGTACCCCGGAACATAGACACTAATTTTTTGATGTAGTCATGAGTAGGGGATTTGGATATAAAAAATTGAGGGTTTGACGCAGCCAGTTCCAAATCAGATCATCGTCCACATGCCAGGAATAGCCCTAGATTGCAGTTTCAGTCTGTCGGGCATCATCAGTAATGCACATCCATCAGGATTCCAACCCATGACCACCAGTAGCTTGCACTGCCAGTCAGCAGATTATGCCACTGGGCCAAAGGGGACAGCTTCAGACCGTCATGATTTACAAGTTAACTGCAATATGGCGCGTCTTATCCTCCACTGTCATGCAAGTAACGAAGGTTGCAGAGGGCAGGGTTGGTCCCGAAAGACGAAGTCCACTGACAGCGGAGATGTACGACATCGCATTTAGAAACTGTCAGGGAGGATATATTTTGATACAGTCATGAGTAGGAGATTGTGTTACAATCCGCGGTATAACTTCTTACATGCCAAACCAATCCTGTTACTGAATATCATGAGTAGTGTAACTTATTCAGAAGTTTGACATCCTAAAGTGAATCCGGTATCAGGGGCGCGGGTTACATCTTGGGATGATCACAAAGATACCCAGATCAGACTAAAAGGAAACATGGTCAATGACCGTGGAATCCAGGAACCATACTGTACAAAACCGGGAAATACGCTTCGGTCTTGAAAGAGTTACATCGATTTAATTCCACCTAAGCATTTGAACTGCAAATGTGTGCGGGTATGTAGTAAAACGTTGCTCAAGTGCTTAAGGGCAAGATAGCAATGAGCGGCGAAGAATGAAGTACGAGGTTGACGTGGAGGACAAAGCCGTATTTAAAAAGACAGTTTAAGTGGACGTTCTTTTCTCTTGCTCTGTGTTTCTTACCCTATACGATCAAACAGGTTATCGGCTCCCGGTTTGTTGATGATCGCGCGAAAGCACCTATTGGACAGAGCGATATTATCAGATAACTCATATCCAGTGCAAATTGGTTAAGGAAGGCAATGTAGAATACAGCAACAAGGACAGGAAAGTCGAAGTCGTGCTGTGGCTGAAACCAGTAGATGTGATACGGAATACAACCCTAATGTGTATACCATGCCTTCCGGTATCGGATCAACAAATTGTAAGCGACGATACTATTTCAAATTAGCAAGAATAGGCAACATTCTTAACAGCGTACTCTGAATCCAGGGGTATACATACCCTCTGTAAGATTATGGTAATGCATCCAAGAGAAAATGTGAAATGTAATTCAGTTTGAAGAATAAATGCTCAGTAACCTCATCAAAGAAAACAGTGGCGGGCCGTAAACTCATCATGCTTGTAGAAATCAGGTTTCCGCCAACAAATTGCTGGAGCTTTGGAAAACTGAAGCAAGTGAGCATTGTTTTGTTGTATAATCATCCTAGGCGAGTCGATGAGATCTTTGCATGTAGATCTATGCTATGCTTTACATCTCTCAATGTGTCGTTTTTCACGCAGTATTGATGACAGGCTTTCCAGCTCATCACCATCATCATCATCCACATTTGCTAGAGGTGGGGAACACCTCAGCTACTGTGCCGCAATAAAAAGAGAAAAAAGGAGAGAAAAAAACAACCGGTGCAAGCTGGCTGAGCTACCGGTAACGGATGGGCATCGTTCCGGTAAGCTACCAGCCGGCTGCTGTGCACCAAAAAATTATTATACAAAATTATATAAGGC